GATTACATTTTATTAGTTCATTTGGCTGATGAGAAGGTAGTTTTCACTATTGTATAAAATAAATGCTTTTAAAAAAATGTTGATACCGTTTGTCCTCCCTGTTTTAGAAAGAAAGCTTCCTACTTACTGTAAATAAACATGGATTTTTGCAGGTCTTGGGCATTCTAATTTCTTAATGTTTTTCAGCTCTTCGAATGGATATCAGATTCTGTCTCTTCCAGGTTTTTCTCAGCTGTTGGCACCTTCTTAAGCAGTATAAGAACTCTGATACTAGTCCTCCTCTGCCCTGTGTGTTTTTAATACTCTGAATGTTAAGATACCTCTAATCATACCGATACTGGATAAAGCTAACATCTACCAAAAAGATTTCAGTTACCAGCACCTTCATACTTCATTTGCTTTTTACTTTCTTTCCTTTTCTTTTTCTTTCTCTTCATGCTAATCATTATCTGGCTATGAAAGGATGTCGGCTCATCATTGGGGGAAGGCTTTTGCGAAAAGGTGGGTTTTGCATTGTGTTCCAAATATAGTTGGTCTTAGGCTCAGTCCCTCCCTTGCAGAAAGGTCTCTCACAAATGGAGATGTTTTACTCCATTTCTGGGTTGAGTAATACCAGGGTGGGGCTGGGGGGAGGAGGAGAATGCTGCTTTTTTTTTTTTTATGAGAGAGGTTGTCCTGTTGGCTTGAAAATGGGTAGGTTTTTAGGGAGTCCTCCTATGTGCAAAATGGAACCTGATACATGCCAAGATATGGAAGAAAGTGCTGTCTTGTCATGGGTGGATTTCAGGAGACTTATCTTTTAGAAGACATGATGACTCTGGCTAGCCTGAAGCTGCACAAAGTACCCAGTCTCCTTGCTTCAGTTCCCCATCTGCAGTATAATGGTCTTTCTTTGCATGAAGACGGGTCCTTTGGGAATCCCTCAGCCATGGCGAGTGTCATGAACGAGTGTTCCCCTTGCACAGAATGCACGTCCAGGAGATACAGCTCACCTACCACGATGTATGGAAACTTACTACAAATAAACACATGCTTGTTTTAAATCTTATGTTTTTAAGACAACTCCCCTTTCTTGTTGAAGCCATATAAATGTGGACCTGGGAAAGAACCCTGAAACTGAACAGAATCTTCAGGGGTGAGGGAGGCAAAATCTGCAGAGCTGAGGGTCTGCTTGGGAAAAGAGAAATGACCTGCATCTCAATTTAGAGACCAGAGGATGCTATTACTATTTCTCCGGGCTGAGATTGGAGCTGTTAATCTGTTTGCTGAGGAAACTACCCAGGGGGGTAGCCGAGTACAGCCAAGTGCCTTACAAGCCAATGTGTGACTTGAACTTTTCCTGGACCATCTATATTTTTGCTTTTTGCCTACACCATTTAGCTTCCCATCTACCTATCATGGCTTCTTGAAAATGATTTGGGTGGGAGAAACACTTTTACTCAGCTTTGAGTTTATGCCTGTTAGTACTGTATGCTACCAAGGCCTCTTCCTTCATTTCCATAAGCAAAAGAAAATCCATGTTGAAACCAGGAAGCTGTTTTCTGCAGTTTTTAGAAAGCTTGTGTTCTGTTCAATATAATAATCTTGTATTTGACAGAGGAAAGACTTGCTGATAGTTTTACTTATGTGAAGTGAAATATAGTCCAAATTCGATATGGTTGCAAATGGACAGATTTCTACAGAGCGAAACATGGCTATGAGCAAGTCAGTTGGAGAGAACTGAACTACTTAGGAGCACACAGCTTGGTATTAAAAAACCACAGCTGAAAAAGGTCATATTCTTGAAAGGAAATAATCTGGGTTAGGGTGGAAATGCAAACCTCCATACAAGGAGATTGTGTTAAATTTATCAACACTGGTCTAAGTAAGTTCACAGCTGTTAAGTCCTCCCTTTAAGTGCAAAGCTAGAAAGCGTGAAAAAAATGATAGGACAGAAGAAGTCATTCCTCAACAGAGGGCAGTGATGTTCTCAAGATGTGTTAACTGGGGTGGTTTCCTATGTGGAATAGAATTTGTTAGTATAACAGAATCTTTCTTTTACCTAATATTGTTTATGTGAAGTAGGATATGAGTAAGATCAGTTCTGAATAACCTGTACACAGGTCCTCTGGTTTGGGAATACATAGTACGTCATGCCCATGTCTCAGCTGCCTCCTAAGCTAGCTCAGGTCTAACAGTTTATTAGTTCAAGCACAAGACAGCACAGGTGCAGATACTCTGTTTTGAGTCAGCTGTGTGGTTCAAAAGCAGCCTACTTGCTGAATCTGTCTGCTGGAGAACCTGAGCTAATAAGCCCTGCTTGGAGGCAGGCTGGCGCTTGCTGAAGCCAGCTTCTGCGCCTGTGCCACGGATCCAGGTGTGAAAGGGCTGGAGTCTAAATAGTTCTGATACACTTCTTTTTCCGAGGTAGGTTATCAGCTCAGTGTAGTGCAAAGTAAGTAGTACAGCTGTATTCCTGGGATGCTGTACTTGAACTAAAAGTGAGCCGCCTTCTAGTATGTCCAAGAAATGTCCTCGTGGCCCTGTACAGAACATCCCAATCCCTGGTCACTGAGGGCAGCAATGTAGGAGGACATTAGCATCTAGCATCAGCAGTTGCTGCTTTTTTCTAGCTGGCCTGAATAACTTGACACTAGAAGGTACCAAAGGAGCTGACGGAGAAGTTCTCTGCATTGTGTGCCACAAGGTTTGTTAGAAGTCAAAGTTCGGGGAAGTATAGAGGATTGGCGTTGCTGTGCCAGTACATACAGGGGTAAATAAGATGGCCTGCACAACCAGCACCAGCCTGGCATTAAGGCATGCAAAACAGTGAGATTGTTGATACAGGATTTCACTGGCTTTAGTAGTTCCTTCAGCTGGGTGACTGCTCTTGTCCTTCCTCTCCTTGAGAATTATTGATCAATAAACGCTTATCCAGTTGGTACAGGTCTCGAGATATTATTGAGAACAATGAATTGTTACTAAGCATTGAATTTTTACTGGATCTTGTTACGGGTGTGCTTCTTGTTCTTGTGCCAGTTGTTAGTGGTTTGGAAGAAATGTATACTACTGCTCCTGAAAACTAGGATAAAGATTGCTAGAATATTAAATAGGGCAGGATGGGCCAATCATCGGGAACACATAATAACCAGCATGTAAGGAAACTCTGCATTTCACTTCAGCAAAATGTGACACCATGCATGTAAGGAACCAGGAATGAAAGTCATGGTGTGTGGTAAGGGAATGGGATGCAATAATTCTTAAAAAGAGTTAGAGTCAGTGTTGGGTGATCATTTACAGATGGTCTTCTGCCAAGAAGGCTAGTTCTGTCCGTGTAAAATCAGTGGAGTGTTAAACAGAAGATGCAGTCCCTGTGTTTAGTCCTACTGCACCTACTGTTGGTATGGCATGTCCAGTTCTAGCATCAGCCCCACAAAAAGATGTTAGAAAAATAGGAGAGGGTTCTGAAAAGAACAAGAAATGTTTCCTTGTCTTTAATCATTTTTACAGCAGCCTGTTTAGGGAACTCAATATATATATATATGAAACTTTGATCACGTTATCCATTCATTTTATTATAGTAATTAAGTACCTATATGGGAAGTACAAATCTGGTGACAATGCAGTAGCCAGGCGGGAAGGAGAAGCTAAAGCCAGATTGATACTACAACATTATATGCACCACAGTGTGTGTGTGTGTTTTTTAAAACAGTAACTATTGAAACAATTTTCCAAGAGTTGCTGTAGACTTCTATTAGTAGTATGTATTAAATGAAACGAATGTGTTTTTAAAAATAATTTGATCACAGCTGTTGCACTCAAATTAACAAACCAAGGAACTTAAGATGCCAGAGTATGTGGTCACAAGGTTACATCAGGTTATTAAATAGAGTGTGAAACTTGCCAAGTGTCATTCAAGCATGGATTTGTTCCTTTGTGCCTGTACTATGGTTGTTAGCTCTTGAGTTATGATCTCACATCCTTATGCTCCAGTGATTTTCAGACTGAGTGTTGCTGTATGCTGGATTTTTGGTTGTCCCTGCTGGGTTTCAGCAAGAAGAGTAGTAGCAGAAGAGCAAGATCTGGGATTTCTTGGATGACTGTGAATTTAGCGTGTCATCTTCTGTGTAGCCAGACATTTGCTCCACATTTGCAGACTACTGAGCATTTCTAACTAATACTTTAATTAGTGAGGTTGGTGTATAGACCTCAACTGTGAGTTGAGAACTAAGGGACATGAGGGGACCTGCTCTTTCGTAAACAGGCTGTCAGGAGATGAAAAAATACTTCACTATTACCTTAACCATATGATCTAATCAATAAAGACTGTTATAGGTATGATACTTACCCATTCGTTTTTACAATTAATAGCTGTTCGGGGAAACTGAGTGAAAGGAACTTAACAGATTGCAGACAGTATCTCAGATCTCTGTAACTGGTGCTCAGCCTATTAATATCTGAGGTTTCTATATGTTAGGTAAGATTTCTTCCCTTGTTCTCCAGGCCATCCTGGGTATTTTCAGTCATGAGGTTTTGTAGGAACAGGAGTCTAGTACAAGAGAAAAAAACCCTTTTGGTTTTTTATCAGTAGTATTAATCTGTCCAATAAGGGTGACCATTTTATTGTGTGTACTTTTGGAACAGCTTTGTTCGTGTCTCCTTTCCAAAGGCTTTCCTGCTCTAGTTAGACACAGTAATGCAGACAGAAATAATATCAAACACCTCCGTGTTCCATATTCAGCAGTCTAAGTTACTTACAAATGGTCGACTATTGCTGCAGTTCAGGTGGTGTTCCACTGGGTCTTTACCAAGTGATGAAATGGTTCTTGTGTTATGAACTGGGAACCTCTCTAGTTGTCCCCATCAGAGCAAAGTTCAGCGTGAATCTGAAGTTTGAGTTGGATCCTTTGAAGGTTTCTTCAAAGGAGTTGCTAATGTTTTTGAATGCTGTGTGCTTCTCAGCATTGATGTGTTTTGTCTTTATTCCTCAGCCTTATCTGTGTATGTTTTTATTGCAGCACATGTCCCATGGAGACGGACGTCAGGAAGTTTCCTCTCGAACTGGGCGCTCTGGAGCTCGCTGCAGGAACTCTATAGCTTCCTGCGCAGATGAGCAGCCGCATATTGGAAATTACAGACTCCTTAAAACGATTGGAAAGGGGAATTTTGCAAAAGTAAAACTGGCAAGGCACATCCTAACTGGCAGAGAGGTAAAGTGATATGGGTGTAAACAGTAGTGAATTGCTGTAGGTGTGAAGGTTCTCTTAGAATAGCATCGTCTAAGTCTGTGAACATTTAGCACATTTTACTAGAGATACTGCCTCTGATGTACAAAAAAACAGAAATGAAAAACTGTATTTTTTTTTTAGTAATGATTACAAAACAATTTCTCTTGAAGGTGGTCTCTTAAATTTGTGTTTTTTGACAGATCCCTGTCCCAGCTGAATTGTGTTCAAGTTTGCTGCTAGAATTCTCTGCTAAATCCTCCATTCCCAAAAAAGGGTTCGATATATAGCAATTAAATAAGCTTGCTGGAAAGACTCCCTCTTGGTGTCTCAGTACTGCACAGTGCAGGGCTGTATTGGAGGGCAAGTCAGGAATGAGAACTAACATATCTTTTTGATTACGGTCTGAGTAGCCCAAACACAGTATTTTCTTGCCAAAGCAATGTGTCTCCCAGGAGTTCTGCTAGTGTCTGCGGTGCTGGGCAGCCTTGGGAAGACACTCCAGTTTGTTCAGAGCAGTTTTGTGTGTCTTGCTCAGTGTTGTGTGGTGTAGACAAGCTTTCTCTTATATCACTTCATAGTGTCTAACTCGGCTCCATAATTAGTTTCTGCATGCCATTGCAATGTAATTACTAACTTGAACTTAATGATGGTTCTGATTTGGTGAAGTATAGTCCTGTTTGTTACAAGAAGGTGTTTCTTGGTGCTGTTTTATTAATAGCAACTCTACCTACTGAAAGAGGGAGAAACACCTTGTTGACCTTCTCTTGCCAAACATGTCTAATGAAGTAAATGTTTGTTGATACCAGCAAGGACTTTTAAAGAAGGCCATGTGGCTTATTGCAGCGCTTTAAGGGAATTTCTTTTTTTCTGAGCTAATATGGAGTTCAGTAGCACTAGGAGGAACAGAGGGGATGACATTTTGCAAGAGTTGTTGGGAGGGTGTTGTGGTTTTTTTTTTAAACTGACAGTTCCAGTGATCAGCAGTCTTCTGGTGTTAAAGTTAGTGCAATCATAGACAAAGGTTTTGGTTAATTACTTTCCATTTAAGCTCCCTCCTCTTTTTACTGATACTTAACACAGGAAATGCAAGTACTTGGTTAGTATTTCTTTTCTATTATTGTAGGTATAGGAGTTGGAGATAGGTATCATGTCACACATTGCTTTGCAAAAACTGAAGTACATTTTCTTTTATTTGCACGTAACTGTGTGTTGACCTCTGGTTCGTAATTTTTTTTATTTTTTGTATTTTTTAATTTTAACAAATAAAGTGATAGTGTAAAATCTTTGGCCAAATTTGGAAAGATTTAAGTACTAAGTTTCTTTAACTCTCATGGAATAGATGTCATCCAGTCAATTCAAAGCATAAATACTTTCCAGGACATGGCTGTTGGTCCTGCTTACCTAGAATGAGTGGCATTCCTTTGAAGGGAACAATTAAGCTAGTTTTATAGGAATATCTTGAAGGTATTTTACACTCTCTTTTTTTCTTTGTAAGAGAGATGAGTAAAAGTTTCTCATCTTGCTAGGTGAACTGTATAGCATTCATAATAATTACATATTTTAGGTGTGTACGACCAGAATCGTTCACAATATTCTGGATAACAATTTCCCCAGTGTCATTAATTTACCCTTGCCCTTACAGAAGTATTTATCTGATCAATCTTTAGATTGCGCTAACCTTTTTCATGGCTGTCACAATGATGTTTTTTGGTTGTGATCAGCAACAGCACCTTGTACTTTGTTGAATCTCACTTTCTTTGCTAACTCATCTCCAAGGTTGTTTATATCAGTTTTCCATTGTATTTGATGGTGCCTCTTAACTCCTTCAACAGACTTAATCATGATGGTTTGACTCCCTGTGCCAAGGCCACTGATACAGATATTAAACAAGATTGATCCCAAGTCTTGTCCTTGAAAAACTCTTACTCATTTATTTCCAACCTGATATCTCTTTAGCCGTTTTTTTTAATTAAAAAAGCTCTGTGCATATTTCAGCTTCTCTAGTTCAATAATTTCCATGCATCCTCCTTGACGAGGCTTTACAGTAGTCCAGATAGCCATGTCTTGTGTGTTTCCATAGGGCACAATTAACTATAGGAAAATATGTTGCATTTAACCCTTCTGTCTGTTTCCCTATTTTTTCCCTGCAAGTTTTGAGCTCAAGAATTTTGTGGTAAATGGCTCTACTAGGAAAAATAAAAGTTAAGTCTGATGCTTTCTAAACCTGTGCTGCCATTTTGTTCTTGATAGATGTTAGAAATCTGTGCTACAAGAATGCTTTATGTTCTTTTTTTTTTTTTTCCTTTAAACCTGCCACTCTTAAGAATTCTGGGATAATGTTCTCAGTCTGGCCTCAGCCAGACGGCACTCATCTTCCTGAATTTGTGATTTCCTGCCTTA